ATTTTGTGTGTGTGTGTGGCCAGCTCAGCCCACCAGGGGGCGGGGCTGGCTGGCATGTGGTGCTGGGGATCCAACCGCGGTCCCTGTGCTTTGTTTAGCTTAGCTTGTTCTAAGTAGGTGCTTTAGACCACTGCGCCATCTCCCCGGCCCCTCAGATTCTCTTTTAAAACACCCGTCATTATCTTTCAATCTTCTTCTTGGGTCACATACTTGTGTGTCTATCATCGGTTTTTCCCATTTGTATTAGCTCTGTGGGAGCGGGTTAAATTTTAATCTCTTTTGTTTAGGGCTGCATCCCCAGAACTAGGACCAGCCTCTGCTCCGTCACAAGCACCCACTAAGTATATGCTGAATGATGCACACCCTACATAAATTTAAATATCAAATGACAAGTCATCCTCATTTTTTCTCCATCTTCAAAGGTCAACAGGTACTATGTAGATTTCTTATTATTCTTTGGGACACTTTTTCTATACATACGAGTATATCTATTTAAGTAAATAAACTGTATATCAATGTTCTCCCTATATAGGAGAGCATTGTACTTTATTTCTCCTTCTGTGAACTGGGAATCAAACTGAGGACCTCGTGTTTGCCAGGCCGGCCCTGTGCTGTTGAGCTGTGCCCACAGCCTCTTTGCTTTATGTTTTGTGCTTTATTTTTTTCAGCTAAACGTTTAAGTTGGAGATCTTGCCACAGAAGTACACACTTTTACCGCCATTATGGAAGTGGGTTCTTAACATCTCACAGCTTAATACTTAAAGAAAAATAGATTGCTTGCCTTGGATAAAAATGGAAAGGCTAGTGACGGGGAAGTGCCTCTGTTCTTGCACCGTTTCATTTATTCCTATAGAGGGGAGCAGTCTGTCATTTGTCCGATGATCCTCAGTGGCTGTCCAGCATGGTGGCACTGGTTTATCAACTGAGCCCTCATTTCGAGTGTTTGGAGAGATCATTTTACTTTCAACAACTAAACAAAGTTTTCTTGGAAGACCAAGGTTAGACATAAAATTGTCATCTCTATGAGCTGGCCGGAGCCACCGCCTCAAATCAATGAACAACAGGAGTGTGAGCAGGCGTTGGGTGTGTAGTTGCTAAGTGTCCTGGCCCCTTGCAATTAGATTGCCCCCCAGTGCACACATGTCTTTGGGGGGTTCCCCTAACATCTCTTCCACCAACGTCTCTTCCATCTCTTCTGTTTCCAAGCTGAGGTGTGACCCTGGGCTCTTGGAACTGTGGGCTTTGGAGGTCATGAAGCTGTTCACACTGGGACTCCTCTGCGCCACCAAAGCCTGATCTCGTTAACTTCTCTGTTTAGAGAAGAGGCCATTGCTTTGAATCTGGGTTCAAATAAACAATAAAAACTGTGAGGCTATCATACTGGAACATTCAGGAGGGAGTAGAAAGACTCTGGTGTTAGGGGCCAGGGAGATGGCTCAGTGGAATAAGCGCTTCCCTGGCAAGCGCAAGGGCCTGAGTTCAATCCCCGGTTCTGGAAAAAAAACAAAACAAAATAAATACACTAAGACTCTGGTCTTAAAGGGAAGTCCAGAAAGAACTGACTTGGTTCTGAAGTGACACAGTAAGGTGAGATACAGTGCATCGAAGGCATTTAGAGCTGATTCCAGGGAGGCCTCTGGAGAAAAGTTGTCCAGCCATGCTTTATGCAATAGCTGGGCAATGTGGAACAGTTTTATGATTATAGCTATTGTTTAAACAAACTCCCTTGCAGCTCCGATGATGGATAACATTCTGTTATAGGATTTTTGAAATTTCCTTTTTCTTTTTATTTATGTATTTGGTATACTACATAGCTTGGCCTCCTAGTGATCCTGCTGTTTCCTGCCTCCCCAGGGAGGGGATTATAGGCATGCGCCACCGGTTGGCACAGCATGTGGAGCCAGGGACAAAGCTGGGTCTCTGCGCTTGCCTAAGCAGGCGCTTAGTCTGCTGAGTTATCTCGCTGTACCTATTTTTTTTTTTTTTTAAACAGGGTCTCATTAAGTAGTTCAGGCTGACCTTGGATTCACTACGGACCCAAGGCTGACCTCAAACGCTCAGCGATCCTCTTGCCTCAGCCTTCTGTGTGCTGAGATTACAGTGCACCACCACGGATTGGCTGTCTGCATTATTCTCACAACTGCGTGCAAATTTACAATGATCTCTGCAATAAAAAAAATAATTAAAAGCAAAGGTGGAGAAAACTTGTGGAAGTAAAATGTTTAGATACTATCTTTAGCCACACACAGACTCTAAGGAAGACACAGCTAGAACATACTCTTTCCTCGGTTGTCCTGTGCCTGGGGAACGTGAGCATGGTGACACAAGCTTCCCTTTAGGAGCGCTTAAGCTCTGTCCTTGGGCTCCGTCTGTTGTAGGAAAGCTTTAGTAACTGCCCACTAGAGGAAGCAAGTCCAGGGCTAGAAGATAGCTCAGCGGATTAAAGCACCTGCTTCGGCAGATTCAGGGCCTGGGGTTCAATCCCCGTGCTGTGCCAATCCCCCCTCATACCCCTGGGGGGGTATGCTGAGACTGCAATTGAGACTGGGCGTGGTGGCGCACGCCTGAAATCCCAGTGCTTGGGAGGCTGAAAACAGGAGGATCACTATGAGTTCGATCTGTGTAGTGAGACCTGTAGAATCTGTGTGTACAAGATACATTAAAAGAAGCAAGTCCAGGCACTTTATTATTCTTTTAATATTCCTTTTGTTTACCTTACAGGTCCTGCATTGCTTGAAGAACTTTGGGGCCCAAATGGGCCAAGATTCTTGGTGTGCTTCATTACCGGTGCACACCTCCGAATGACTTCCTTCTGTAAACGTACTTGGTCAGTGTCGCAGGCTACTTCCTTTACTTAAAATGTCCACCTCTAGGGTTGGCCAGATAGCTCAGTGGATTAAAGCACCTGCTTAGGCACATGCAAGGGCTGGGGTTTGATTCCCGGCCTACCGTGCCGGCCCCGCCTGTGGGGCGTGCTGAGATGGCAAATGAGACTGGGCATGGTGGTGCGTGCTGTAATCCCAGCGCTTGGGAGGCTGAAAAACAGGAGGATTACTACCAGTCTGATTTGTGTAGCCAGACCCTATAAACCCTGTATTAAATACATTAAAAAAAAAAATCCACCTCTCAGCTTTCTCAAACAAACTTCAAAATGCCAGCCAACCAGCTCCCTCATCAAACATCTCATTCTCTAGCCCAGGAATTCTCCAACTCCTTGATTCAGGGTTGTTCTACACACTTACTGTTGAAGTTATTTTACACAATTAGCTATTGAAGATACCAGAGAGCTTGGGTATATGTGAGTGTGTTAATCTAGAGGTAGGTACTGTGTTTGAAATTAAAACAAAAATTTAAAAAATGTCCACTTATCCATTTAGAAAGAATAGTAAACCCATGACAGGTCTACACTTCTCTTTTCAAGGAATGGCTGCATTTTCCCAAAACAAAATAGTTAGTGGTAAGAATGTCATTGTTTTTATAGTTTTGTAGCTCCTTTAACACCTTTTTTTTTTTTTTTTTTTTTTTTTTTTTTTGGTGGTACCAGGGATCAAACTCAGGACCTTGTGCTTTCCAGGCAAGCACTTATTCCACTGAGCTATCTCCCTGGCCCCAACATTACTCTTTAATTTAATGTGTCCTTTAGTTATAAAACAGCACAGTTACATTATGGGTATATGCTAGAAAATACAAAACATACGTGCAGTTTTCTACAGTTATCATTACATTGTGTTTTACAAACAAATAGCTCAGCAGTCTAAGCGCCTGCCTGGCAAGTGCAAGGACCTGCGTTTGATCCCTGGTACTGCATGCTGCGCTGGCCCTGGAACCTGGGGTGCCTTGTGCTGGCCACTGAAACCAGGTGTGGTGGCTCATGCCTATAGTCCTAGCACTGGGGACGCTGAGACTGGAGGATCACTAGGAGTCTGAGCTGCGTATCGAGGCCCTCTACCAAATAAATAAATAAATAAATAAATAAATAAATAAATAAATGATTTAAAAAAACCCAAAACAACGCTAAACACTACCCCGTCACTGGCCATGGGTAAGCCTTTCTAACATCTGAGAACAGCGTCATGTCCCACTGTGTGGCCAGAACACAATTACTAGACTCCAATATTAGCACATTTGAATGCTTCCAATGTTTTGTCGGAATAAGTACAGTGGTCCTGGGAAGAATACTGTCACACATCTAGGTTTTTTTTTTTTTTTTTTTTTTACATTTAGTGCTATTGCCTTAGAATAGATTCCCAGAAGTAAGATTACTGGGTCAAAAGATGCATACATTTTTATAGCTTTTAATACATACTGTAAAATTGCTTTTCAAAAGGGCTATACTAATTTACAGTGCCACCAACACGTTCAAGAACATTTCAGCACACAAATTGTCAACACAGGTGCCATTAGGAATGCTAATCGATAAAATATTGTACCCTAGTTGTTAAAATTTTGCATTTTTTTGAGGCTAATAAAGTTAAAGTTTGTCGAAGAACGAGTGTAAAATACAAAACATTCTTTTGGGACATTTTTATTTCTGGAAAACCTAGGCAGTTCTCACTGGCGAAGACCAGAAAAAAGAACACGTTAGGATTGGCACAAAATCCACATAGACAGTCAATCTTAATGCCAAAACACTTAACGACTTTTTCAATGGTTTTCTGCTTCTCGCTAATAGTAGCAAAAGGAAAAAGAAAAAAAAGAAAAAAAAAGAAAAAAAAGAAACGTTCTCACTGCAATCCATACAAAATCAGAAGTGGTTGGAGCTCAGCTTTTCATTCAACTTTTTTACTTAAAAAAAATTGAGACTTCAGCCTTGTCTTTTGTTTCTGGTATTAACTATCAATGTGTAAACTTTCTAAATTTATGGGCGTGGGACACATCCTGCTTGAGCTAGGCACCTCGCAGAGCTGGGGACCAAGGTGCACGAGGGAGGGGGTGCATGTCCGCCAGATGTGGCCGCAGCTGCACCTGCGTCCCCTGCCCTTGCTCTGCCTCCTTCCCACCCGCGCCGGCTCGCGGGGCGCACCGCCCCCAGCACACGCATCGCGGGAGCCTGATCTGCCTCCAGAGGATCCACGCAGGGCGGCAGGCGGGAGAAGGAAACTCGTCTCGCCCGGTGCGTGCCCCGGCCTGGCGTGCCCGGGTTTAACGTTCCCGAGGTTCGTTCCGCGGCCTCATCCTGGGACAGGCGTCTATGACTCATCGGCTCCGGCGGTCACATGGGCAACGTGACCAAAATAAAGTTTCAGTATTTTAAGCCGCCAGAAACGGGGACAACGGAGCACACCGGAGGCGGGAGCGGCGCGGGAGGTGGGGGCGGGGTGGGGCTTGGCGGGAGGCGTGCCCCTCCCCCGCGGCCGTCAGCGAAGCCTAGACTCCCGGCCGACTGTCTCCGGACCACGGCCTCGCGGCGGACCTCCGCGCCGAGGCCCCTGGGCCCGTTCCCCGCCGGGATAGGAGGCTACGGGATCCCGGAGATCCCGGCATGTCCCCCACTGCCATCGGGACCCCACACGCCGGGAGCGGCTTCCCCAGGAACGTCCTTCAGCCCCGGGAGCACGCGGGAAAAGCCCCAGCGCGCCAATGAGCGAGCGCCTTCCTCATGACGGTCACGCTCGGGGGCGGGGCTTCCTTTCGCCTCTCCCGAGTTCCGGGAACCCCCTTTGATTGGTTTGGACGGCTTGGGAAACACTGTAGTGACGCCCAATCAAAAGGCCACGTCTCGGCCTCGAGGAAATATTCCGTGTCGGCTCCACTCTTATTGGACAATTCTTTCGGACTCCGACCATTGGCTACCTTTGTTTAGGTCTGGAAGGCGGGCTTTCCTGGTAGTGGGTGGGGAGGGGGCGTTGATTCTTGGCCAATCCGTTCAGTCCGTCGGGTGGTGACCAGCCAATGGGCAGGATGGATAGGACGCTCCTCCCGGAGAGTAGTGAGACCCCTGGTGCGGGGCGATTGGCGGCGAGAGCGATGACTGGCAACCTCCCGGACCAACGGGAGTTGTGCGTGGGCCGTGGGGCGGGGCCAGGGCGGGTGCGCGGCGGCGGCGGGGTGGCTGGGCCGGCGGCGGCGGCGGTACGAGGCGCGC